CATTTTACAGACATGTTCCTTTCCCCATCTTTCCCCACATTTAAAACACAACCCCTTCCTGCTTCTTTTTTGTAGCTCAGTTTGTGTCAACTTCTGACCCAGTTTCCAGCTGGCGTTTGGTTCAGTAGATTCCCCCACACAGTTCTCAGCTTTAAATTTATCAGTAGCATTGGATTGGGACCTCCATTTGCTGCCATCGATCCATTGTTGAGGTTTACCCGAGGCTCCTCCTTTTTTCTTTCCACTTCTCTGCTCTCCTTCCTTCAGTTTTCCACCTCTCAGGGTAGCATTCTTTCCTTCCAGAACCATAGATATATCCATCAGTTCAGGCAATGTAGCTTTATGATACAGTTTAAGTTCTTCTTTCACCTCCTGCCTTAACCCATTTAGGTAGATTCCTTTAATAATTTGCTCATCAGTGTGTTTTAAGGGGCCCACCACCATTTCAAATTGTTCCCTGTACGCCATTAATGAACCAGTCTGTCTCAGACTAAGCATTGGTCCAAAAGGATTCTGTAAGAACTCCGGTTGGAATCTCCTCATCAGTGCCTCCTTGAACAATTCTCAGGTTCTCTCCTCATTCTGCCCTCCCCAGCACTGAAACCAATTCAGGGCTTTTTCTTCCATTGCCAGCATCACCAGCTCAACTTTCTCCTACTCGGTTACTTGGTTTAATTTGAAAAACCTTTCTACTCTAATAATCCATCCATTCACATCTTCACCGTTAAACAGAGGTAAATCCACCATTCTTCAAGTTCTTTCAAGTCCTCTATTCACACGGTCATGTTCATGTATGTAAGCAGAATTTGGAGACATGTGTGGATTACCTTGGGAAGGCGATGACAAACCAGTGCTAGCAGTAGGGGATCACGCCAATAAGTTCGCAACCTTCCCCTGGATTTCCGATCTGGTTCATCGCCATTTGTCGCAGCTCGATTATCATTTCGTGCATAGTGTGCATCTCCTCCACGATCGATCGCACATCTATAGTGTTTCGCTGCATATTGTGATCGATCTTTTGCTCGAGGATTCGAGGTTAGTGCTTTGTTCCTTGTTACGATCGATCTTCTACTCGAGATTATCCAGGCAACCTTCCATTTGTGATGGGTAAATCTCATTCATCAGCTCAGGAGCAAACTGCTCTGATATCAATGTTAGATAGATTAACAAAGTAAAATGTAATTGTATTGATCATTCTGGACCTGAGGAATTCTCAGAAAAATCCAGTACAGTAACTACAAGAAGGAAGAATGAAATCGAGATCTAGAATCAGAAAGGGGAGTTCTCTCTCTAATCAAGGGCCCAGCGAAATCCCAACTGAATGCCAACCTAACTTTATTAGCCTTCTCGCCCTTATTTATAACTTCAAGCACCCACAATACAATTTTATTAACTCCCGACCCTTTTTCCCTTCCTTATATACACCCTATTAAAATACTCCACACCCCTTGTCCTATCAGCGACCTAGAGGAAGGTCGAAGACCGTGCGTCGCTGTCGAAATTCGGAAAGCAAAGGTTCGTCGCCCACGAAAGAAGCTTTTCTCAGTTTGCAGGTTCCCTCGCCAACATCTTACTCCGGATTTCCATCTTCACCACGAGCAGAGTTCACCAGTCCGCAAGCTTTGCCATTCTTAGTTTTGCCTTGTTCGCAGGTTTCATCGCAGGTTTCCACTTCTCACAGTGCGCAGGTTGAGTCAGCATCAATCCGTCAGCAGTATGTGAGTCAGCGACAACCTTCATATGAAGATACGTTCACCCATGGCGACGAGGAACGAGAGGGGAAATCCTCGGTGGCCGCTGGACCTGAAGTTGGCGGAACTTGGCGGAACTGCAGTTCCTGTTTCTCTTGGACGTGCGGATTCTTGAGGTTCTATGACATTCTTCAATTCGATTGAGGGTAGAGTTCAGCCGGTAACTCCTGAAAATGGTAATAATTTGAATGCTTCACGTGATCAAAAACATCCCTAAGTTGCACAGGCTATGTTTTCTGGTGAGTCAAGTGTTGTAGAGAGGTCTATTACCTTGCTGAAGGTTGCTGTTACTAGAAATCCAAAAACAATTTTAAACTTAACACTACTCGAGCTTTCTATATTTCCTTATCAGATTCGGGATTAAAGTTCCTTTCAATTGCTCAACTCATGTCGGTTAATCGTGTCCATCAAGCTTTTCAGGGTGGGGATGAGGCAGCATTGTCTTCGTCTTTACCTTTGGCGGAAAGCAGTGCTTTGGGTGGGCTCTTACCTGAATTATTGCTTTATGTGTTGGAGGAACGTAGTGGCCCAGCTGCAATTTTTGTAACCATGGGTTCAGATCTGATATTCATAAGATCCCCTGGACACACATAATGCAGGCGGAAATCTATAGGGAGAGTTGGAAGAAAAAGAGATTACAAACTTTGAGTACTTGATGAATTTCAACACACTTGCTGGAAGATCTTATAATGAGTTCTGAGTATCCGGTGTCTTGCAAAACCAGTTGGAGCGCTAAGTCCAAAACAAGATGGAAAGCCAATGGGTGATGTTGTGCTCCCTCGATGGATTAAGGTTTTTCTTGAAGAATCCATAAGCAAGCACAGGGAGACACTTGAAAGTGAATGTAAGCTCAAATCTTCACCATGGGATTAATATGGTCAATGGTTATAAACGGGGTGGGAATCCAGCAGCTGAGGCGGCAAACCTATTTTACTATGTAAGGTACGTGAGCGCTGTTGATCATGAGACAATGGAAGAGGGGCAAGAGACGCAGTTGCTGGGAGATTCAAACTTTTGCAACATAAGGGAGCCTTCTGTCACCAGGACCTTCTTTCTTCCCCTTCTTGCAGTGAAGAACGTGAAGATGCAGGTTCAAGTACTGAAGCTAAAGGTCCATAAATCCAGGATGTGCTGGGAAGGAAGAGGCGCCAGGATGAAGATGAAGTTGAAGGTCAAGGTAGTTTCCTATCACCCACCTTGAGGACAAGGTGGATGTTCAAGGGGGAGATATGATAGGGACCTGGACAGCCAAGAATAATAAGAATAACAGAATTATATTAAACAATGTACAAATAAGAGTATCAGGCCATATGATTCATGAGTTTGGGCCGGCCCTTAAGAATAGACTTACTATAAGAGTGGGAAGTGGGGAGGAAGGGAGGGAGGCATAACTTGGGACTTCGCTAGGAACTGGGAGTGAGAGACTACTCGAAGTGTCTCAATTGTTCTTTTCCGATCTTATGATCTGTACGTCAATTACGTTTGTCTGTCATTGTACTAGCTTCAGGACTCCTATTTCCATATTTGATATACAGTAACTTGTTCGGTACCTATCATATACTCCCTCCTGTTCTTAATTAAGTTCCTACTTTCCTTTTTTGGATGTCCCAAACAAGTTCACACTTCCTTATTTGGCAAACAAATCTACACCAAAACAGTGCCAAAACAGTGCAAAGCAGTGTACTCTATAGTAAAATTTACCTCTAAGTAAATTTATTTTCTTAATATGTGGGAAGTCAAACCAGGAACTTAATTAAGAACCGGAGGGAGTATATATATACATATACATACATACATACATATATATATATATATATGAAAGTATTCATGTAAGGTAGGCCTAAAAGTTACAGTGTGAGGCCTCTTTCAGATGAGTTGCTTCTAGGATGAATTTTTTTATGAAATTTTGTGAGCACATTCTCCATGAAGTGTATATTATATCTGCCAAATTTTAGCTTAAAATTTAATCGAGAAGTTAGCCAAATATTTTTTTTAAATTAAGCAGTTTTTTATATATAAAACATGCAGTTTATTTCAGTAATTTATTTAATTATCTTCCCGATTGAATTTTGACCTGAAATTTGGTGGACATAATCTAAACTTCATGCAAAACACGGTCACAAAATTTCATTAAAAATTTGATCCGTAAGCACCTCAAATGAAAGAGTCCTAAAACTTATAACTTTTAAGCCTACCTTACATGATCATTCTCCGATATATATATATATATATATATATATATATATATATATATGAGAGAGAGAGAGAGAGTTTGGTCCAAATGAGAAAATGATCTTAGGAAAGAAATGAGAATGAATCTGGACCATTGGATTGTGTATTATGTGAAAATGAATGTTCATTAGGTGAAATTAAGTGTGCATTATGTGAATTGACATGTGCAGTACAAAGGGTACGCATTATGTGAAACTGGGTTATGCATTAGGTGAAATTAAAATGTGCATTAAGCGACACTGAAATGTGCAGAATAAAAGGTACAATCTTGTGGCATTCTGTACTTTTTATTCTGCACATTTCAATTTCATCTAATGCATATTTGAGTTTGCCTTTTATTTTACATGTTTCAATTTCATGTAATGCACATTACAGTTTCACCAAATGCACAATTAAATTTCATATGATACAACCCAACGGCCCACTTTCATTCTCATTTGCATGTCTTATGAGAGTCCATTCTCACCGGAACCGCTCCCTATATATATACATATACATATAATATTGGAATAAAAACACAGGGTATAAACTAAAAAGGGTGTGTTATAGACACCTAGCAACACCCGGAAGCACCTATAAGTGCCTAGCAGTCGTCCAAGCGCCTAACACATGCAAATTTCCCACTATTTGCTTCGCCTTAGAAGCATTTACTCCCTTTGTCCCTTAAAATTCTTCCCACTTACCTTTTTGGGATGTCCCAAAAAAATCTTCTCATTTCTCTTTTTGGAAAGTTTTGTGTGGCTAACATTCATTTACCTTTTTTTAATCAACAACAACCACACAATTCCACTCTATTCCCACTTTCTTAAGCTCTGATCCAAGTCAAACCAGGAATAATTTTAAGGGACGGAGGGAGCAACTCCTAGGCGGCTGTCTGGGCCAATTTTCACAACATTGAATGGAGTTTGTAAGAAAAATAGATAAAAACGATGCAAATGCTGATTTGATGGCACTGGATAAGAAATTGAAGATAAATTTACCACCACTACCAAAGCACCAGAGACAATTATCACTCACCGGGCAGGAAGAATCTGTCCATTTTGAAATGCAAGAACAATGAAAAGAATGATTGCAGAGTGTGGTTAGAATCCCGCTTGTGTCCAGATCTAGCCGCTCTGCACAAATATTACCATATTACCAAGATAATATAAGGTTATCAATGTGAGACCGTACATGCAACTAATAGTTAATACTACCTCCCCCCACTAACATTGGGACAAGAGGAGGTAACACGGTTATTAAGAAAAGTGGGTATATGTGGTTGATATTAAATTGATAAAGTAAGGATAAAGTAAGAATGATTTAGAGTCACACAAACTTTACCAAATTTAGTATGGGACAATCTTAGTGGGATTTCCCGAAAAGGTAAAATGGGACAATATTAGCGGGACAGAGGGAGTATAAGATTGTGTATCCAAATCAATGCAATGGGCATCATAGGTTCCACACATAAATTGCAATATCAACTTCACTACTAATAATACCAAGACAGACTGGACAAGATGGTTGTTCTGTAGTGCTTGGGGGAGAAGTATGCAAATGCTCAATTGATCCAGTGTAATGCACATCACTTGTGAAAAGAACATAGCAAAGTTCTTGCTGCATTTAAATACAAAATAAAACAGATGAAGACATTTTTTACTTAAAATTTGTAACTGAATTTCAAAATATTAATAGGATTATAGGAGTAGAGCATGCCTCAAGAGATGAGAAATGCCGGCCACTAAAATGTTCATAGAAAGAGTCAGCATAAACTTGCTCATCAAACCTTATCAAAATACTATATCGATCTTCTACTCCTTCATTCCTACACTCCCACACAATACAAAGAAAAGTTAGAGCCAATAATAGAATGCCGATGGCCAGTATAGTTCTCCAAACAAATACCTGACAATTCTCATTTCTAGCATATGTTGCACAAATGAGCCACAAAACTGACAGAAGTCTGAATACCTCATGTGATTGGGTACCCCAAGCACACATAGAAGAGGTTTTCTCTCACCCTAATGACATCAAAGGAAAACACAGAGTAGGAATTATGACATTGTGATTTATCATTTCCCTGAAAAACTGTAAGGTTTCAATATATCAAAAAATAAGGTTAATCAATATTTTAATCTATTATAAACAAACAGATATGTGATTGTTGGCATATAGCAAACATCTGGAGCCGCCCCCTCTCCAAAAAAACATATATCACAGTTCGCACACATTCAGTTTCATAAGTATTCAGATGATATGAATGACTGCCAAAATTGATTGCGTCAATATATATTATATCCTTCTACCGCACCAACCAAGTGAAAATTTCAAACAGCTTTAAAACTAGCAGGATCTCAGCTTTCACAAATAAATCAATCAGCGGAGAAGTTCCAAAATTTGTGTAGATACTCATTATTGGGTTCCTAACACAAGACCATAGTTCATTAAGTTGTTATCCGGAGCTCCGAGCCTACCAATTGTAGGTAGTTATAGCATTTGAATGTAAATATATTTTAGATCACTCGCACAGAATCTAGCAGATATATTACTTAAGAAACCCCCAAATTTGAAAAACAATGGAGAAGGACGTTTAAACGTGAAAAGGATTTCAATCTTCACAAATCTCTCATAAAATTGGTCATTTATACCAGAAAATAAGCATGCTACGTCCTCCCTCTACTGAATTAAGTCAAAAAGCGATAGAAATGAAGTTCAGACGGATCAAATACACCAAAAGGCGAATATATCATTACAGGCAACTCGGAGGGAGATGAGGCGACATCATTGCGGAAGAGGTGCATCACGCCTCTGGTCTCTTCCACGCGAGGATTTCCGGAAGAAAAATGAAACGACTGAGTAATGCTAGGGGTGGATGTAAAAGAGTCACCGGATGCCGTGCTGTTTATAGGCCGGGATCGATCTTCGGAAGAAACGCCGGCGATATTGATGGAAGTCCTGGAGGATGATTCCGACATGATTTTTGCAACGTAGAAGAAAAATTTACAGCTTCAGTTCAGATTCAAGTTCCCCTTTTTTATTAGGACTTCGCGCACCTCTTTTTCGTGGAAGATCGACATGTGTGTAGTTTTCTCACACACAGGGAACCAGTAGTTTTAAACTTATTTTCCGGAATAGTTTAAAACTAGTGAGAATTGAAATTTAACTAGTTGTAATTCCACATTGGAATCGTGGAAGGGAAAACTGTCAATTACACCCTCGTACTATGGGTGAAACCGCAATTGAGCCCTTCTACTTTGATAACCTTCCATTGAATCCGCCGAGTCTCCAAAATCAATCAATTAGGTCTACATTACCGGTTGGTTCCCGGTTTGCCCGTTGCTTGCCTTCCTGGCGCTGACGTGGACTTTGCCTATCGGTCTTTCAGTGCTGACTCACCTAAATCATTTTACTTCCACTATCCACCCCCAATCAACACCACACCGTGCCCTAATTGACGACCTTAATTCGAAGCTCTGCGACATAGCACTCCTCGACATAGTCATCCACTTCTCACCGTCGACCTCGTGACCAACAATGGCCTCCTCGTCTACAGCAACGAGTACAAAAGAGCGAAGAAGCACTACAAATTACGAGCCTGCAGTGTACTGTTGGTGTGGATTGAAAGCGCCTCTGTGCGTGGGAAAGGAGAGCGGAAGACAATTCTATGGGTGTCAAAATTGGCTGGTAAAACGTCGAAAGAATTTACATTTTTTCATTTGCTGTGGTTATGTAGGTTGTGCAGGTTATGTAGGTTGTTCGTATTGGTAGTGCATATATAATACTGTAGGTTGTGCAGGTTATGTTTCGAACAAATCTTGTATTGGTAGTGATTTTGAATTTGAAGAACATGTTCGTGTGATAATAGGTGTGTTTGTATTGTCAACAGGGAGAAGGGTGTGGCTACTTCTTGTGGAAGGATGACATAGGAAGAGAAGACATGATTAGACCTGGCCAAAAGAGAGATAAGTTTGATGAAGTAAAGACCATGGTTGAAGGTGATGTCCAACGCTTAAGCTATGTTCAAGCAGATGTAACCACTATAAAAACCGTTCTTGAGAATGAGGTTAAGGCCAGAAAGAGGTGCAGGAAGCTCGTTGTCATAGGGTTGGCTGTATTTCTGTGCTTTGCAACAAATATGTATTCAAGCTATCATAGTTGAATTGTCTTGGATGTAATGGTATCTATGTTTGAAAAAGTTCACCACCGGTTTATTGTCATAGAAAGTGGAATGTAGTGTCATATGGTCTCTTCTTGGCTATCCTTTTCATTGTTGCAACACGAATGTCCTCAAGCATTGGGATCAAAGGCTTGGATCTTGCTTTTAGAAGTGTGTTATTGAAGGCCTCAGACAGGTTGTTCTCAACTGTGTCACACTTCACTGCATCCCTAAAGAAAGCTTTACACCATAACTTGAATGGGTGTTTGCGTAAGTCAATACCTGCTTGAGCATCAGCCTTATCTAGCTCAGCTAAATTAGCTTCCAACTGAGGTTCACATGTTGACTTCGCACACTGCCAAAACAACTTCTTCAGATTCATCCCTCGATGTGCTTTGCTCCAATTACCATGAATATGGCGTGCACAGTTCCTGTGCTCAGAGTTAGGGAAGACTCTGGTAATTGCATTAGCCAGGCCCTACAAAAAAAAAATATTAACCAAGTCATATCATATACATTAATGGACAACATGTAAGCAGTTATGAAGATACTTAACCTTCTGTTGATCACTGATGAAGGTCCACTCATCTGGGGCATTAACATCCAAGTCATTATGCAGCAACTCCAAGAACCAAGTCCAAGATGAGGTATTTTCTATCTCAACCACAACCCATGCGATTGGATACATTTGGTTATTTGCATCTCTACCTACAGCACTCAATATCTCTCCCTTCATTTGTCCTTTTAAAAAACATCCATCTACACCAATGATCTTCCTACACCCTTCTATAAAACCCTTCTTCACTGGTCCAAAGCAGACATAAATGCATTGGAATACACTTGACTGTTCTGGGACAACTCTCACAGTTTTGATGACAACTGTACTATTAGGTATTGACTGAAGGCATTCCTCTGCATAGTTCCTGGTCTTTTTGAATTGGTCTTTGAAAGCAGTTTGGTTTTTCTCTTCAATAGCTTTCAAAGCTCTGCTGGCCATGCTTTCAGACACATTGAGTTTATACTCAGCCTTGATAAGATTTTTCAATTCCACTGCACCCATTGATGGATTCTCAACCACTTTCTCCTCATACATGTCAGCTACCCATTTGGTGCACACTATTCTCAGCTTATACCTCAGATTGCAGTTATGTCCTTCTTTGAAAACTTTGACCTGAAAACACTTCAATCTCTCCACCCATGAAGCTGTTAAAGAAAAAGGGCAAGTTTTCCCACATTTCACTCTCACTCTCTCAGGTTCATTTTTGTTGAAATACAAATCTCTTTTTTCAAACACGGCATATTTAATGACTGCCTTCTTAAATTGCTTTCCATCTTCAAACAACATGCCAACATCAAAACTTGGGGGCTCTGATTCAGGATTAAATGAAGCATACCTCTTGTCTGACCTTTTACACCTCCCAGAATCATCCTCATCCTCAACCTCAGACATGTAGCTGCGGGGATTAGATGAATCATACTATGTACTGTTCTCCTCATTCTCACTATCATTACACGTGTTTGCCCCCTGTTGTGTAGGTATGTGTTCAGAGCCCAGTATATCTTCATTGACCTCATCCTCATCTCTCTCTTGATGGTCAGTTGATGCAGCTTTTTCTGTCTCAGATTCTTCTTCCATCCATGACTCATCTGCCTCAGAGTCTTCTGACATCCATGATTCATGTGTCTGACCTTCATCTGCCTTCCATGATTCATCTGAACTGACATTGGACTCCTCATCTTCAACAACAACATCTTCATGAATATGGGCACCTGTTTGTTGATGTTCACTTGCTCCAGGCTCATCTTCAGGAACATGGTCTTTGTTTGTACCATCAATTGGGGGCTCCACTCTAGTCACATCAACTTCAGGTTGAGATGCCTCAGGTGCAGGCAGAAGTTCAACCAATTCCACCTCATCTAAGCCATGTTCCACAAATATGTCACACTGTCCACAACTAGTATCATGCTCTATGAGATGAAGGGTTGACTTATCATCAGACAACTGTCTTAAAGATTTCATACTCTGCCTTGGTTTTTTGTAATACAGAGCCTTAATGTTACCATAACTACCCGTTTTTAGGCACTTCATTAAATGAGGATAGCAAATCAAATCTGGGTGAATTGGTAAGACATCAACTGCACCACCTACGTATATTATCTCAGGAATATACTTAAAATTTCCTCCATGGTGAATGATTAGTTCAACCTTGTCAAACATGCTGTACATATGAAAATATTAAAATCAGATTTGGGAATGTGTAAATTTTTATTAGATAAAGAACAATGACCCAAACGAACGATTCTAAAGTGCAAATGACTATCGCTTCACGTAATAATATCATCACAATAGCAACATTCATGCGACAAATACGAACACAAATCACCAACCTCATGTAAATACGGTGGACTTACAACTATAAACTAACCTGGCGTTTGTCTTCTTCACGTGGACGGTGAGAAGTGGATGACCAGCGTCCAGGAGTGCTATGTTGCTTATCTTCTCGCAGAGCTTCGAATTAAGGTCGTCAATGAAGGTTAGGGCACGGTGTGGATAGTGGAAGTAAAATGATTTAGGTGAGTCAGCACTGAAAGACCGATAGGCAAAGTCCACGTCAGCGCCAGGAAGGCAAGCAACGGGCAAACCGGGAACCAACCGGTAATGTAGACCTAATTGATTGATTTTGGAGACTTGGCGGATTCAATTGAAGGTTATCAAAGTAGAAGGGCTCAATTGCGGTTTCGCCCATAGTACGAGGGTGTAATTGACAGTTTTCCCATCATGGAATGCGTTTCAGAATAAGTAAAAAAATTGAACTTGCTGAGAACTGAACCTACTACCATACAATTGGAATGCTAAGCAGAAATCACTGGACTAAAAAACATATTATTATAAACAAATGACATGTGAGGCCTTAACATATCTCAATTCAAAAAATTAATAAAAAACGTGTAAAAGTTCATCTAAGCTTTTTTTTATATGTCTCAACCCAGCCCAACCTTGGCTCGAGTTCGATTCGATTTCAGTTTAAATTTTACTCATTAATATTTGTACACTCGAGATCAAATAAGATTGTCGAATAGAAACAAAAAAAAATTATTTTCAAAAAATATAGTTATAATTAAAAATTACTTAATTAAATAAATAATATTTATTTATTTATATATTTTGATTCTAAAAGATGTCTTTTGGACATAAAAGATATTTTGATACAATACAGGACCTGAAACGTGATGTGACCTCACGATCAGGCTCCCTATTCCCTTCCGGGATGGCGACCATCGTGTTCACGCCCGGGACCGGCTCCTCAGCGTAGGTTCTCCCTTGCAGACCTCGCAGGGGCGCGATGCAGCGGCAATGTCGTCCGTACACGTGATCCCTCAGCGGCGGTTGGCGCCCTCATCCCCAGACTGCGCAGGTGCTTACTAGTAGACCTCGCAGGGTTGCACGATCGGGCTCGGGACTGGCCCCTCAGCGTCGTTGTTCCCATACTGCGGCTAGCTCTTCAGCGCCGATGTTCCCATATTGCGGCTAGCTCTTCAGCGCTGATGTTTTTGTGTCACAGCTGGCTCCCCAGTGCTGACGTTGTGACCGCACGATCGGGCTCCCCGTTCCCCTCCGGGATGGCGACCGTCGTTCTCATATTCGGGACCGGCCCCTCAGCACCGCAGTTCCCATTTCACGGTCGGCTCTTCAGCACCGAGGTTGTTACCGCACGATCGGGTCCCTTGTTCCCCTCCAGGATGGCGACCGTCGTGCTCATGTTTGGGACCGGCCCCTCAGCGCCGCAGTTCCCGTTTCACGGTCGGCTCTTCAGCGCCAAGGTTGTTACTGCACGATCGGGCTCCCCGTTCCCCTCCGGGATGGCGACCGTCGTGCTCATGTTCGGGACCGGCCCCTCAGCGCCGCAGTTCCCGTTTCATGGTTGGCTCTTCAGCGCTAATGTTCCCATATTGCGGATAGCT